GGAGGAGGAGATGGAGGAGGAGATGATGGAGGAGGTGATGGAGAAGGAAATGGAGGAGATGGAGGAGGAGGTGATGGAGGAGGAGATGGAGCAGGAGGTGATGGAGGAGGAGGTGATAGAGGAGGTGATGGAGGAGGAGGTGATAGAGGAGGTGATGGAGGAGGTGATGGAGGAGGAGATGGAGGAAGAGGAGATGGAGGAGATGAAAGAGGAGGTGATGGAGGAGGAGGTGATGGAGGAGGAGAAATGGAGGAGGAGATGGAGGAGGAGGAGGAGGAGGAGGAGATGGAGGAAGTGACAGAGGGGAGAGGGAGGAGCAGGTGGAGGGGTGAAGAGGCGGCGCTGAGGGCGGGCAGGAGAAGCTGACTTCGAGGCGGAGGTGGTGAAGGAGGAGGCATGCAGGCAGCCGCGGTGGCCGTAGCGGTCTCTGGAAGGAAGGGTGGCGGTGGAGCCGGTGTCGCGGTACCGCAGTTGCGGGTGGCTCTCAGCCCCGCCCCAGCCCTGTGCAGCCCAGCCCTCCTCACCAGCCTCAGTTTCCAGCCCGGGGAAGGACCTGGCAGCGGCCGCCTCCTCTCCGGCTGGCTGGGGGATGGGCAAGGACCGGGCTGCCAGACCCGATCGATGGCGCTGGAGAGCGGTAATTAGATTGAGCGCGGGCGGGCGGGGCGCCCAGCCTCTTTCTGCTGCCGTGGACAAAACGCCAAGTTTCTTCCTGACTCTGCCGCGTTACCCCCTCCCCCAGCCTCTGCCTCTGGGTCCCCATTAGATGCTCGATGGAGATCGGGAGGGGACAGGAAAGGGGGTGAACCCGCACCCCTCACCAGCAGTGCACCTTCCCTGGGCCAGGAAACAGGTCCTTGCCTCACCTATCACTCACTCATCCATCCATCCATCCATCCATCCATCCATCCATTCATTCATTCATGTATTTGCAGTACTGGGGACCAAACCCAGTGGTGCTTTGCTACTGAGCTACATCCCCAGTACTCTTGTTCTCTCTCTCTCCCTGTCCCTGTCCCTCTCTCCTCTTTCTCTCCCCGCCCCCTTGGGTTAGGATGAGAGAAACAGGATATATTTATATTTTGAGACAGCATCTTTCTAAGTTGTCCAGATGGGGCTCAAACTCGAGATCCTCCTGCCTCAGCCTCCCAAGAAGCTGGATGACAGACATGCACCCCACTCAGTGTTCACTTTATTTTATTTATATACTTACTTACTTATTTATTTTTTAATTTTTTTTTTTCAAGGAGGGGTACCAGGAATCAAACTCATGACCATGAGCTTGCCAGGCGGGTGCTGCACCACTGAGCTATATCCCTGGCAGTGTTCCCTTTAAAAGAATGGGAACATGGTATAGGGTTGCACATTCATAGTTCCAGCACCCTGGGAGGCTGAGGCAGGAGGACTGCAAGTTTGAGGCCATCCTAGGCAACTTAGTGACTTAGCAAGACTCTATCTCAAAATAAAAAATAAAAAGAGCTGGAGATATGGCTCAGTGCAAAAGGCCTGGGTTCAATCCCCAGTAACTAAAAAACAAGACAAAACAGAATGGGTACCTAGTCCCCTCCCCCGGGCCTTCAGAGAGCACCAAGGTTCTCAAGAGCACCTGGGTCTGAAGGGAAAATGATTGCGGGAGCCGGGGGAGGAGCCAGCGATAGAGCCTTGGTGTTGCCTGCAGCAAGCCTTGAGCTCTGTCCCTAGCACCCAGGCTTGAGGTCAGGAGTTCTTTGCTTTACTTTTTTATTTTATTTTATTTTATTTTATTTTATTTTGTCTTTTTTGAGACAGGGTCTCACTATGCACTTTGGGCTGGCCTTGAGCTCACTTTGTAGCCCAGGCTGGTCTCGCAACAATCCTGCCTCAGCCTCCCGAGTGCTGGGATTACAGGCGTGCGCCACCACACCCAGCTAGCTCTTTGCTTTTCTGTCCACGGTTTCTTTCTGCGGATAAAATAGAAAGGTATCTGCTTGTCTCCCATGGCATTTCATACACACATGCTACCCGCTTCACACTGCATCAGCCATGCCTCGCCAAGTATGTATATTTTGCTGCTAGGGAAGGAGCTCAAGGCCTGAGGCAGGCAGCACCAAGGCTGTATCACTGGTTCCTCCCCCGGCTCCATCGCTGGTTCCTCCCTCAGCTCTATCGCTGGTTCCTCCCTTGGCTCCTGCAACCATTTTCCATTCAGACCCACACCCTCTCCTCGGTTGGTTTCCCGGGACAATGACCAGGAGGATCTCTGCAAGCACCAATATCGGTGATTAACATTATTATGGCTTTGGTGAATGGCGCCCCCAGCTGAGCCACATGGAGTACCGTGAAGGCCTTTCCTTCCTCCTGCACCCGCCTGGTGTTCTGGAGCTCAATCACAAGCTCTTTGTGCAGTGCCCAGCAAAACGCCAAGCCTGCTGGTAGGAATGCGCTGCGTGTGGGCTCGCCTCCCCTTCACACTTCCTTGGGCTCCTGTCTCATTGCGGCTGCCTCTCCGCCTCCTTGGAGCTGCTTCTATCTAGTGGTCCCCCGGTGCCCCACATCATTTCCTGAAGCCCGCACTTGTTTCTGTTTACCTTGTCATGTGAATAGAGCACATCTTCCAGTAGCCTTCTGAGAAAAGGTGTGTGGAACATCAACTTCTGGAGTTCTCACCTCTATGTTTGGATATTTGGCAGCCCTGGAGGTTGTTTGTTTGTTGGAGTCAGGGTCTCACCATGTAGCTCAGGCTGGCCTTGAATTCACTATGTAGTCCAGGTGGCCTCAAACTCATGGCGATCCTCCTGCCTCAGCCTCCCAAATGCTTGGGTGCCACTATGCCCAGCTTATTTACTTATTTTTTGTAACATTGTCTCATTATGTTCCCCAAGCTGATCTCAAACTCCTGGGCTCATGCAATACTCCTGCCTCAGCTTCCCTGAGTAGATGCAACAACACATGCGTACCACCATGCCCAATGGTATTGCTTCCAGATCAATGACAGACTTGCTGCCTTCTCCCTCTAACTTTGTGATCTCCTTTCCTCGTTCCTGCCATCGTGTCTACTCCCTTCTGCTGTCCAGGGTGTTACTTTGACTTTCCATCCAGCGCTCAGAGTCATTTCATGCCAGCTATCTGTAGTATGCATTTAAATTCTAAGAGCATTTTCTGACTCTTTAATCACCACTTTTATTTCACACTCTCTGTTCTTGTTTCATGAATACAGTATTTTGCCCCCTCTGAAAACAACAATAGCTTTGCCTGCTTTTTTCCCCCACTCTTTATTATTATTTGTTTTGAGACAGGATTTTACCCTGTAATTCAGGCTGGTCTCAGACTTGCAAAATTGCCCAGGCTGGGGCTGGGGATATAGCTCATCGGCATAAGCACCTGCCTGGTAAGCTTGAGGTCATGAGTTCGATTCCTGGTACCAAAAACAAAAGACGCACCCAAAGTTGCCCAGGCTGACCTCAAACTCAGGATCCTCCTGCCTCAGCCTCCCAGAGGGTGGGACTGCAGACGTGCAGCACCCCATCCAGCTCTGCTTTGTTGATTTCTTCAGAGATCAGCCCTTTTGTTCTGTCCTCTCCCTCTTCCGCCATTAGATGACATCCTGAAATGCTCAATAGCCTGCCCCCAACATGTACCTAACCATAAAACCTGAACCAGTTGGAAGCTTCAAGCACACTGCCCTCCCCCGCGTCAGAGGAAACAACCAGGGCAGGGTGCTGCATCTGTTGACGCCCGTGAACCCCCCGTCCCCAAGAAATGCGTCATAGCGCCAGACAGTCATTTCTTTTCCCCAGTGAGTATCGATCTAGCGCGCCATCTGGTCCCTACTGCTCCAGAACCGAAGAGAACAAACTTGCCGTGCGACCACCAGGCCACTGCCGCTGGCAGCAGGGACCTGCTGGGGAGTCTGCAGCGCCTGTTGTTCTGAGGATGACGAGGGGTGTGCACAGGGAGGGTGGGGCTGAACCTCAAGCTGAGATTCCCTCGGAGTTGAAGCTGTCTACGGAAACAGCCCTGGGCCCCTGGGAGGGGAGCCAGCCCCGGCGCGGCGTGCCCCTGTCTCCTCCGTGCCCACTGCGCCTTCGCAGGGCTCTGGCGTCACCCAGAGCTGCCACCTTGGCAGTGTCTGGGGCCTTTGTCCTGCTCCGAGGAAGGCCCCGCTAGCCCTAGCCCTGACCCCGACCGTCCCCTCCTCCTTCCCGAGATCCTCGCTGCTCCCAGGGGTCCCTGGGCGCTCGCTCCAGGACACCATGGCTCCATGGGTGCCGTCTTGTGCCCCGGGAACGCGGTCCGGGCTCTCCTCCAGGGAGAGGTGTGGACGGCTGCGCCAGGGCCTGCACCCCGGGCACCCGCGCCCCGCACCCCCGCGGGCCGCCTTCGGGTCTGCTCCTCCGGGACAGGAGGAGAGGGCTTGGGGACGAGGGGCCGGGAGGGGCGCTGTGGGCGACGGGCGTTCACCTGGTGCCTGTGTCCCCTCCCGCCCGCGCAGCCTGCAAGCGCAAGGAGCAGGAGCAGCAGAAGGAGCGCGCGCTGCAGCCCAAGAAGCAGCGCCTGGTGTTCACCGACCTGCAGCGCCGCACGCTCATCGCCATCTTCAAGGAGAACAAGCGGCCGTCCAAGGAGATGCAGGTGACCATCTCGCAGCAGCTGGGGCTGGAGCTCAACACCGTCAGCAACTTCTTCATGAACGCGCGGCGCCGCTGCATGAACCGCTGGGCCGAGGAGCCGGGCGCCGCCCCCGCCGGGGGCCCCGCGGGCGCCACCGCCACCTTCTCCAAGGCCTGAGCGCCCCCGGGGAGGGGGCCGCACACCCCGGCCCAGCGCACAACGGGGCCCCCTCCCCGCCCCCGCCCCAGGCCGGAGGAAGCCCCCAGCCCCCTGCGGTGGGGACCGAAGGGGGGTCCCCAGCCCCCCTCCATTCAGGACGCCCAGGGGGCCTCCAGGAAATCCGGGGCTCACTGTGTGGTCCCCTAAAGCGGGTCAAAAAGCACATACTAGAAATATAAACCGGGTATTTAAGGGAAAAAAAAGGAATTTTAAAAATAATCCTCTTCTCCCAGACACCCTACCCCAGGGAAGGCAGAGGGGCTGCGGGAGGTGTCCCCCACCCCGGAACCCCCTGTCCCTTCCAAGTCGCCAAACCCACGTCAAGCTGGATCCTCGCGGCACCCCTCCCATCCCGCGCCACCCCTCTGCTGGCGGGACGCCCCCAGCCGAGACCCCCTGCCCCCCCCCAGAGGCCAGGATCCCTCGTGCCAAGATTTGCCTGCCTTAAAGCCTGGGGAGGGGGCCTGCGAGGACAGCGCCCTTGTCACCCCGCCGACCTGGGCGTGGCCGGCTCCAACGTGCGGGTAAATTCCAGACGCCCCCGCCCCAGCACCCCTCGGTTTAGTTCACTTTACCTGTAGGCACCTTGATGAATGCACACAGGGAAGACGCGTCCCAGGAACCTGAAGACCACGCCGGAGTCCAGGAGAGGGAGGCACGCAGGAGTCCCTGCGGGTGCGCCCCGGGGGACCGCGGCTCACCACCTCTCCGCCTCGTGGATTGCAGACCTGGTCCCCCACCCCGCAGGGGACGGCAGCTGGGGGTGGACCTTGCATTTGTCCCGTCTCTCTCCCAGGAGAGAAAGAAGATGTCGAAGAACTTGGAATCTGCTTGCTCTGTGTTTTGCCAAAAAAATTTTTTCTTTACAAAGGGGAGGGGTCAGAAGTGAAGGGGAGCACCCCCCCCATCCCTACCGCACTCATCTCTCCTGAGCCGTCCCTCCATCCCTCGGGCAGGCGACCTCCAAGACTGGATCCCCTAAGACCCGCCTCCCCGCGGTTCAAAATCCAGAGGCTGGAAGGAGCCCCGCTCCCAAACCCCCAAACTCTGACCCCCTCGGCTGCCTCCCAGGGAGGGGCCCCCACCTCCCCTGGAGAATGCAAAAGACATTTCTAGCGAAGCCCCTTCCCCGGGGAAAGGCTACCTCACTCAACGCTCACCTTCGTGATTGGGAAATCACGTCTGATACCAAAGATTCTCCCCAGGACTTGTGCTGGATGTAGGGTTCCCTCCCCGTCCCGGCCTGGTGGCCCCCCTGCCCCCACCCACCCAGAGAGCAAGAGTGAGAGACAGAGAGAGAGAGAACCGGACAGAGAGGAGGGCAAGGTCAGTGAGTGCCTTTTTCTTGAACCAAAGATGTGTATGGCGTGTCCTGTGTCCTTTGGCCACCACTGTCCTCTAGCTTTGCAAGTGACACTCCCAGAGCCTGTGGGGGTCGGGGCAGCATCATGAGAGTGAAGAGTCCCCAGCCCCCACTTGCTGACTGACCCGGACATCAAGCAGACACACACACACACACACACACACACACACACACACACAACAGAGACACACGCACACACACACACACACACCGGCCCTGTTCCTTTTTGGGATGACCCTGGGCACTTCGAGCCCCATTCTGGGAAACTGAGGCTGCCTCCCCCCCATACATACACCCGAGCCCCTCTTCTGGATGGCGGGTGACAGGGTGACATAGCTTCTGAGCTCAGCAGGCCTAGGGCCCACAAAACCATTTTAATTTCTTTTAAAATTAGAAAGCAAAAACATGAACTTTTAGGGCAAAGAAAATTTATAATATGCCATATTTATAGAAATATTTTTTCTTTGTGCTGCTGGAGATGGAACCCAGGACCTCACGCATGCTGGACACACACTCACCACTCAGCCACATGCCCCGTCCCAAAGGGTCCTTTTCTCTTTCTTTCTTTTCTTTCTTTCTTTCTTTTTCTTTCTTTCTTCTTTTTCTTTCTTTCTTTCTGTGTAAGGTTCTGTTTTTGTGTGTGCTTTTTTTGTTGTTTTGTTTTTTGAGACAGGGTCTTGGTGTAGTTCAGGCTGAACTTGAACTCACTATGTAGCCCAGGTTGGCCTTGAACTCACAGCAATCCTCCTGCCTCAGCCTCCTGAATGCTGAGGCTACAGGTGTGCGCCACCATGCTTAGCCCAATGGGTCATTTTCAAACACCATCTCTCACACACACACACACACACACACACACACACACACACACACACAACAGCTCCCCACCCTTCCCCAGGCGCAGACCCCGACCTCCCCCAATGCCACCTGGTCCTGCAAACAAACCAAAGACCCTTCCCACCCAGGGAACCCCCCCTCCAGCACAATTCCTTCAAGCCTTTGACAATTCTCTCAGAAATACCTCAAAATATTTAATGTATAGTTTATGTGATAAAGAAAATTCCTTAGCTAGTTTTTGGACTATGTGACTTGAAGCTTTGTACAGTTAGATTATCATTTCACAGGCCACGGTGTGTTTCTTTGACCATCCTGTGGGAGACATATTGAATGTCAGGGCAGTGAGGCTGGTGGTCAGCAAGGACGAGGCAGGGCGGGTGACGAGGGACCAGCAGCGTTTACAGATTTCTTGTTTAAACGAGTCTTTTAGGAAAGAGAGGGTGAGAGAGAGAGAGAGAAAGAGAGAGAGAGAGAGAGAAGAGAGAGGTGAACCTTTCTGTTTTCTGGCTTCTGTTTCTGGTTTTTGAGTCCTGTCTTATAAGAGTATTTATTATTCTACGTGTTCCGTGTCCAGATGTAATTTAAGAAAAAAAAAAAAGGAAGAAAAATGAAAAAAAAAAGACAAAATGGAATTTGATTTGGTGCATGGCTAATGTACTTTCTTGCGATAATGTACTAAGTGGGGGTCGGGGGTCCATTCCCAATCCGCGTACTTCATGCCGAGTCGGTGTGTCCTGTGATCTTTGTGCTGCTCTGTGTTCCTGTTTCCCCTTTCTGAGGAGCCGTGTGTGTCCAGCAGGTGACCAGGCCCCAGGTGGACAGCCAAAGGGATCCTGGAGCAAGCCAGACCTGAGCTCCATGGACCCCCCCACCCACCTCCGCCTGTCCCCTGCTGAGCAGGGGGAGGTCACCAGGTCCCTACCCCATCTTGATGCCAGGTGGGCGTCGTCACCAGCCAGGACCCCGCCCGGCTCTGCCCCGGTTGTTTTCACTTTAGCATGTATTCCTAAGTGTCTTGTTCAGAGGAGAGAGACAATCAGGCAGTTTGAGTCTCGCCGCCCTGTGGTGGCAGGGGATCTGGGGTGCGCCCTAACTTCCCCACGTCCCAAGGGCCCTCCTGAGCCCCTTCTTGGGCCCAGCTCCAGCTGGTCCTCCTCTCAGCCTCCTGGCCCCGGGTTGGACCCACATTTGACCTTCTGACTGTCCTAGGAGCTGGGCGCTGCATTTCTGCATGGGATGCTCCCTCCCGGAGGACAGCGGTGCCGCCCAGGCCCCCAACACCAGGAAAGCAGGTCCTGGGGCCGGGACTCTCCCTGAGCTTCTGTTTTACCTCTGCGGTGGCCCTGCGGGAGAGGGGGGAGGCAGAGGCCAGGCCCAGAGGGAGCTATGACAGAGATCCAGAGCTGGGGGCCACAGAGGGACATCTTTGCACCCTGCAGAACAGCAGGGCGTGTGGGAGGGCAGAGGTGAACCCCAAGGAAGCCCTTTCTCTGCCCAAAGTGTTCCCACCAAAGCCTGGCCATTGGCCCCTGGCTCATCCTGGTGGCCCCAGGGGACCCCTGAGGGTTATCTCAGCAGGCACATGTGGGCCCCCCAGCAGTGTTTTCGAGGAAGATCAAAAAGTAGGGTGCTGGTAGGAATCCCCAGGGGATCACCCCAGTACGTCCAGCAGGGCAGGAGGGGAGACAACCCTCTCCACCACCACCCCCAGGCGACAGGCTTAAAAGGGAAAACAAACCAAAAAACCACCGTTGTTAATCATTCCTCTGCTCAGTTTGCTGTTTTGGTTTTTTTCTTCAATAAATTATTTTCTAGTCACTCAGCTGGGTGTGTGTGTTGGCCCATGGGGGGGCGGGAGGGGACAGGCGGGAGAAGGGGCGTGGCCACCCTCAAGACTGGCGGGGAGGCAGGGAGGAGAGTCCGGCCCTCTCCCAGCCCCCACTCACCCCGCTTCCACGGAACCCTTGGGCATCAGAGGGACAAGCTGGGGCCTCCGAGCCACATGCCCTGGTGCACACCTAATCAGGACCTCCTTCGGGGGCCTGTTGCTTCCAGAGGTCTGAAGTGGAAGGAGTTTATTTGAAGGGGGGACGGAGCCAGTCTGGTGGAGCAAGGGGCTGAAGGGGCCCACAGGTAGGCAGTGGGAGCGAAGGCCACTACCACCTAGAACCTGCTTGTTTGCTTGCTTGCTTTCCTGTGTGTGGGCGGGGGTACTAGGATGGAAACCAGGGCATTCACAATGAGCTGTCTTTAGCTCATTTTTTTGTTGTTTTTTGAGACAGGGTCTCACTATGTAATTCAGGCTGGCCTTGAACTCACTATATAGCCCAGGCTGGCCTCAGACTCACAGCGATCCTCCTGCCTCAGCCTCCTAGGCGCTGGGATTATAGGGGTGTGCCACCATTCCTGGCTATGCCACACTTAGTGGTTTGGTGTCTAAAACCCAGGAAAAAATATTCCACATGGCTTCCAACAAGAGGCCTGGGGAAAAGAAGGAGCCCAAAGAAGCCCTGAGGTCAGGTGGGTCCAGGTTTATTAGAAAGAGTGAAGGGCACAGCTCCCTTGTCTTTGGGGTCAGGCCTCCGGTTAGCTGCTTGGCCTGTGTAGGGAGATGGCTGCCCCTCTGGAAACAGAGGTGGCTGCTCCCTCAGAGGAGGTGACAGCTGGCCCTCGGAGGACACCGGCAGCCACTCCATGGGCGAGGGCTCCCTCTGCACGGACTCGGTCTCCATGGGCTGCTCACTCAGAGACTCCTGGGTCTGTGTCCCTGTGGCCACCTGGTGGGGCGCGGGTTCCTGCGAGTGGGCCGGCCCCCGGTGCCCAGAACTCTGACCCGAGGGCTGCGCCGGCCTCACCAAGGCTGGAGCCTCTGCCTCAGCAAACGACGACGAGCTGTCCTGGGACAGCCTGCCCCGGCCAGCGAGCAGTCTGCCGGGGAGGGCAGGCTGGTTTCCAGAGGGCCCTGGCGCCGCCCGGTCCAGGGTGGAGGCCGAGCTCAGGGTGGAGGGCACCTGCGAGTCCTGGGAAGGCGCCCTGGACCTCAGCAGGGGCCGCCGGCTCACCAGGAACGAGATCTTCCTGGGTTCCCGCGGCGTCGAGGGCAGCGCCTCCTCGACCTCGTCAGGCAGGAACCCGGAGGGGACGTTCGTGTCGCTGTTGTCCCCGCGGGGCCTTCGCAAGCTCGTGCCCTGCGTGATGAGGTTGCCGTAGCCCTCGCGGTGGGAGAAGGCATAGCTGGAGCGCCGGATGCGGGACTCCCGGCGCAACTGAGGCAGGGGCTCCTCAGAGACCTCGCTTGGGGCAGCCTCCACCTCCTCCTGCAGAGCAAAGGGGCCACCGGGCCATCAGCCTCCGGGGTTTGCTGTTTGGTCTGGGGTCGCCTGCCTCCTGGTGGGGGCTACTCAGACCCAGTTCTATCTTCACCCTTGTAAAGCCAGAGTCCCTCCCTGGGAACTGACTCTGAGCCAGCCAATCAGAGTCCCTTCCTTCCCTTACTTGGTTCTGAACCAGCCAATCAGAGTCCCAACCCTTACTAGGCCAGCCAATCAGAGTCCTTCATTGGAGCCTGACTCAGAGTCCTTTCCCTTACTTTTGAGGCAGGGCCTAGAACGCTAAATTGCCCAGGCTAAACTCAAATTTGTAATCTTCCTGCCTCAGCCTCACAGAGAGCTGGGATTTTATTTTATTTCATTATGAGACAGGATCCTACCAAATGGCATAGACTGGGCTCAAACTCAATCTCCCTGCCTCAGCCTCTGCTTTCCTTTCTAAGGCTAATATTCCACAGCGCAGGAGGACCTCATCCTATACACTGCCTCATCTGTTGATGAACGCTTGGGCCGTGTCTAAGTCTTCCCCTTGGCATAAACCATCCTAAGGCTGTTTTTGTCACCGCACTCCAAACCCAGGCAGGAATCTGATGGTGCCGGTGTGAGAGCCCAGGGTGGCTGCTGCTTCTGCCCCAAAATGTGTGGTCCCCGCCCGGAGAGTGTGGCCCCGGGGAGCACCACCTGTCCCCTGGGGGTCCCAGGACCCTCACCCTGAAGCGCGGCTTCTTGAGCACGTGGCGGAAGATGCGGAGGGCCAGGATGGGCAAGGTGTTCACCGCTATATTCAGCAGCACCACGAGCAGGAACGGGGCCTTGCTCAGCACGTTGTGGAGGACATCTGGGGACAGGGCAAGGGTCATGGAGAGGCAGTTCCCCCCGCCCCTTCCTGAGCACGGTCCTCCCAGTGTCCACGCCCACCCTGTCGCCTGCCAGGGGCTCACACAGAAACGGGAAGGTCTTGGGGACGAGTCGGTAGGCCCACAGGCTCTGGGTGGCATAAGTCAGGATGAAGTAGGAGCCCAGGCTGAACAGCACAGTCCCCAGGAACAAGAGGGTCCAGTACTTGACGACCAGCATGACCTGCACAGCGAGGGACAGAGGTCAGCTAGGGGCAGGGACTGAGCCCCCAGCATGGGCCCGGATGAAGCCAAGAAGCAGAAGTCAGCAGAGAAAGCCTGGCATGGTGGCACAGGCCTGTCATCCTAGCCCTTGGAGGCTGAAGCAGGAGGATCTCTGTGAGTTTGTAGTCAGCCTGGGCTACATAGTGAGTTCAAGGATACCCTGAACTACACGGTGAGACCCGGTCTCAAACTGCCCCCAGAGGAAGTCATTGGAGGATGAGGCCTCGAAGTCCCTGTCCGAGGCCCACCCCCACCCCCGGGTTGGGACCAGGTGGCCTCGCGCACCTCAATGGTGATGGACAGCAGGCTGGACAGGGCCACCACCACCGCGAAGGACTGGTAGTCACCGAGGCTGTTGGGCCCCGCGGTGTCGCGGATGATCCACATACTAAGGAAAAAGGTGACCAGGGAGGTGAACAGGCCCTGGGCAATGGCTTTGGAGAACACCCAGTAGTTGAAGAGCTCATTTTTCTGGCCGGCCATGTACAGCTCGGGCATCTTTAGGCTCTGCGCATCGCTCACATCCTGGGAGGGGGGAGAGACTCTTAGGCCAGAGCTAGGCCGAGGGGACCCCAAAAGGAGTCTGGGCCCCCCGGCCACTCTCCTCCCATAGTAATTTAACTGAATTAAAATGAAATGATGAGCAGGGTGCAGGGTCGACGCTTGTCGTCCGGATGCTCCAGAGGCCTCTGAGGCAGGAGCATCACAAGTGCAGAGTTCTCAGTTTTGGTGCAAATACTGAGCCACGTTATTATAGAAGGGATCTGAGCACCTCATTTGGGTGTCAGTGGTAGCAGATCCTGGGACCCATCCTCCGTGAGCGCTGCAGGGTGTCCATGCCTCTATTTCGGTACAGTTTTTTTAAAAATTTAAGGGCCTGGGGCACAGGTGGTGGTAGTGTGCCTGCTTAGGAAATGCAAGGCCCTGAGTTCCATCCCCTGAGTATCACCACCAAAAACAAATGAACAAAAAAGGGAGCTAGAGCCAGGCATGGTGGCGCGCGCCTATAATCCTAACACTCAGGGGGCTGAGGCAGGAGGATCGACACACGTTCGAGGCCAGCCTGGGCGACATAGTGAGGTCCGAGGCCAGCCTGGACTGGATAGCGAGACCCTGCCTCAAACCAACCCCCTAAAAAAGACATGAAATGTAAAGTCCAGTTTTTCAGTCCCATGGCCATGCTCAAAAGCCCCTGCCTGGCCACAGCTTCTACAGTGGGCGGCATGGTGTGGACATGCCCATCACCCGGGATGTTATCTGGGGCCCCCTACTCCAGGCAGGGCCTCTCAGGATTGGAGGGAACATATGTAACAGAGACCAGAGGGCTGAGGGGCTGGACTGCGGGACTAGGGGTCCCACTAAGAGAAGGAGGTGGCCCCCATGAGACAGCGGAACCCAAGTAGGAGCAGGTACAATGCAGTGGGCAGGGCGGGAGTTAGGCCGCACCCTACCTAGTCTTCACACCCTGTCCCAGGCAGGAGGCAGCCAGGCCTGGCCCCCGAATCCTGCTCACCTGCTCGAAGAGCCCAATGTAGAGGACCGGGACGGTGCTGTAGAGCAGGTTGAAGAGTGCCAGGAACCAGCCTTCATACAGGGGCTGCGCAGGGGACAGAGACGGCCCTCAGAAGCCTGTGGGCACTGGGGAGGGGTTCCCCCGGTGACCAGGAAGTGGTGTTACAGTTGGGGCTGAGACCAGGAGTTGGTAAAGCAGGGTTTACATAAAAAGCAGGGAAAATTAAAAGCAAAAAAAAAAAAAAAAAAATCAGGGGAGCCGGGCGTGGTGGCGCA